CATCCTTGTCTTGTTCGTGACCTTAGGGGAAAAGCACTCAGTTTTTCCCCATAATGGATGATGTTACCTGTGGCTTTTTCATATGTGGCCTTTATTATGTTGAGGTACATTCCCTCTAAACCTACTTTGTTAAGGGCTTTTATCATGAATGGATGTTGTACTTTGTCAAATGTTTTTCTGGCGTCTCTTGAAATGATCATATAGTTCTTATCCTTTCTTTTACTGCTGTGATCTATCATGTTGATTGATCTGTGAATATTGAACCACCCTTGAAACCCAGGAATAAATCCCACTTGATTGTGGTGAATGTTTTTTTAAACGTAATGTTGGATTCAGTTTCTTAGGATTTTGTTATGGATTTTTGTGTCTATGTGTTATTTTTGTGTCATCAGAAATATTAACCTGTAGAGTTCTCTTTTTTTGTGGTGCCTTTATTTGGTTTTGGTATCAGGGTAGTGCTAGCCTCATAAAATGGATTGGGAAGCTTTCTTTCCTTTTCTATTTTTTGGAATAGTTTGAGAAGAATAGGTATTAACTCTTCCTTAAGGGTTTGGTAGAGGGATTCCTGGGTGGCTCAGTCAGTTAAGCATCTGACACTTGATTTCAGCTCAGGTCGTGATCTCAGGGTCATGAGATGCAGCCCTATATCAGGCTCTGTGCTCAGCAGGGAGTCTATTTGGATTCTCCCTCTGCCCCTCCGTCTGCCCCTCCATCCTCACCCTCTCTCAAAATAAATAAATATTTTAAAAATGTTTGGTACAGTTCATCTATGAAGCCATCTATCTTGGACTTTTGTTTAGTGGGGATTTTTCATTCTTTTTTTTTTTTTTTTTGCTTGTAATTGGTCTGTTCAAATTTTCTGATCCTTCCTGTTTCAATTTTGGTAGGTTTATGTTACTATGAATTTATCCGTTTCTACTAGTTGTCCAATTTGATGGCATGCATTTTCTCAGAATATTCTCTTATAATTGTTTGTGTTTGTGTGGTGGTGGTTTTTATTTCTCCTCTCTCATTTGTGATTTTATTTATTTGGTTCTTTTTTCTTTTTGATAATTCTGACTAGGGGTTTATCAAATTTATCATTTTTTCCCCCCAGGAACCAGCTTCTGGTTTCATTTATCTGTTCTATTGTTTTTCTAGTTTCTCTATCATTTATTTCTGCTCTAATCTTTATTAGTTCCTTCCTTCTGCTGGCTTTAGGTTTTGTTTCTTGTTATTTTTCTAGCTCCTTTCAGTGTAAGGTTAGGTTGTTTATTTGACATTTTTCTTGCTTCTTGAGCTAGGCCTGTATTGCTATAAACTTCCCCCTCAGAACCATTTTTGCTGCATCCCAAGCTTTTGAACTGTTGTGTTTTCATTTTCATTTGTTTCCATGTACTTGTTATATTCTTCTTTTATTTCCTCTTGACCCATTCGTTGTTTAGTAGCATGTTACTTAACCTCTATGTATTTGTGATCTTTCAGATATTTTTCTTGTGGTTGACTTCTAGTTTCATAGTGTTGTGGTCAGAAAAGATGCATAGTATGACTTTGATCTTTCTGAATCTGTTGAGGCTTGTTTTGTGGCCTATTATGTGTTCTGTTCTATGTGCACTTGAAAAGAGTGTGTATTCTGCTGTTTTATGATAGAATATTCTGAATGTATCTGCTAAATCCATCTGGGTCC